CTGGGGACAGGAAGGACTGGGACTGGAGGGAAATTAGCCAGCACAGGCCCAGAGGAGCTATTTGGAGCACTTAGTGACGGTGGATCACCAACTGAATATAACATCAAGTTCCCACTGGCCTCTCTAGCACTTCCTTTGCTCTTCCTGCAGACAGGCCCGTCTCTTTCTCACCCCCAGCCCTCTGCACTGGTTGTTTCTTCTGCCAGGAACACTCTTCCCCTGACTCCTATGCTACCTGGTGAGTTCCTACATAACCTTCAAACCCCATCCTGCTGTGCCCCTCTCAGACAAAGCCCCCGATTTAAGCTGCTTGTAACCAACGCTGTCTTCTCCCAGATGGGAGAGGAGGCTGGGAAAGATGAGAAAGGTCAGGGTCAAGATTGGACCTGGGAGCTGTGGGGACCTAGCCCACCTTCCCTGGGGACCCCTCCCCAGGTGGAGAAAGGGCCGTGTTGCCTAAGTGCCAGGAGGAAGTGGACTCCGGTCAGACTGTCTTTGTGGAATTTCAGCTCCGCCACTTCCTCACTCTGAGTCACTTGGCCTCAGTTTCTTCATCTGTGAAACAGGAGTCACACCGGTGCCTGCCTCAGGACTCAGGAACATTCACGTTGGTCGCCCATGTGTGCCCCCTCAGCATGGGTTATTTTTTTTTAATATATATATTTTATTGATTGATTTTTTTACAGAGAGGAAGGGCGAGGGATAGAAACATCGATGAAAGAGAAACATCGACCAGCTGCCTCTTGCACACCGCCCACTGGAGATGTGCCCGAAACCAAGGTACGTGCCCTTGACCGGAATCGAACCTGGGACCTTTCAGTTCGCAGGCTGACGCTCTATCCACTGAGCCAAACCGGGTTCGGCTCGTGGGTTATTTTTATCAGTGACATTGTGTCCACTCTCCCTCGTCCCAGCTGCTCTGACCCATGGGTCCGCTCGACCGGGCCAAAGCACAATGTCCCAGACGCCATTAGCTCCTTGGGGGCTGTAGCAGCTGCTTCTGGCCTTGTGCTTCTTCTACCTGTGTGCGTCCCCTGAGCCCATGTGGCCCCCTAATTCGACAATGAACTCTCTCACCAAGCTCCTAATGGGTGGGCAGAACCAGTATCCTCTGGGGGGACCCAGCCAGGCCACTTTGGGGGAGCCCCCCCCCCCACTCCTGCAGGACACTCAGCACCCCACTGCTCAGAGCTGTGGCCTGACATAGCTGACTGCCACTCGGCCGCCAGCCACAGCACGTACCCTCAGGTGGGCACCGCCCTCGTGCATCCTACAGGTTAGCTGCTGACCGCAGGCCCAGCTTCCGCCTCCCCTCAGGCCGCCCCGCCAGTGCTGTGTCTGGCTTAACATGAACTTCCCTGGCCACTGCCCACAGCTGAAGGCCCTGAGTGGGTTCTTCAATCTCCCACGTCCTACTGCAGAGACTCGGACAATTTCGGAGGGTATGGCTGGCTGGAGTCATGGCCTGGCCAGCCGGCCAACACACTGGACAACCTCTCAGCTAAGACCGAGCTGGTGGCCAAGGGTAGTGTCCAGCTGGAGGGAGGATTCAGCCAGATGCTTTAAATTCATCTCGAAGTGGACATGGATGGGCACTCCCACAAGCTACTGCCCAAGCCCTCACTCATGACCTAGTGCCTGTCTCACTACCAGTGTTCCCTGGCTTTGCAGAACTTGCACCCCAACTGCACCAGAGAAGCTGGGGAAGCACGCCCTGCGTGGGCCCATGGTGTTTCGCCCCAGCAGGAGGAACCGCGAACAGTTTCTGCCACCCAACACCTTCGTCCACATGGACAGCTTCCAGGGCCCCAAGGAGCTGGAGCTGGACAGAGACCACGCTGGCCACCTGAGCTACTGCCACTGGCAGGAGAGGCTGCAGCCGTGACCCTTCAGCTGGTCCCTGGGGGTGTGCAAGGCCTGCTGGCGGCTGTAGCAGGAGTCCACTTACCAGACAGTGACCAGCAAAGCTTCTAGGTCCACATGAGCCGACCAGCCTGGGGCCTCACCTGCCAGCCACTTGTGCTGTTAGGAACCTCACCTGACAGGGGCCGCCCCCACGGGGATGCGGAGAGGGTGTATCACATGCTGGGGACCTCACCTCCTAGGAATCTCTCCTCCTGGAGACCTTGGTGGTTGATCTCACTTACCTGGGACTTCACCTACCGGGCACCGGGCATCGCTGCTGCCAAGAACCTGGGCTTCGGGCTTTAACCTCCAGGGGCCTTAGCGAGGTGGGGTGCAGGGGGTAGGGGGAGCGGGGGGAGTGTCTCAGCTGCTGGAAATGTTGGCTTCTGCAGACTTCACCCACCGAGGCGCTCACTGCCGAGGCCCTGCTGGGTCTGCTTGCAGCTGGGTAACTGCCTATGGGGCAGGCAGGCAGGCAGGCAGGCAGTCAACATTGGTACCATTTTCCAGATGGGAACATTCTGATAAAAACTGATGTGTCCTCTCCTATTCTAGAACAGCGGTTCTCACCCCAGGGCAACCCCCCCCCCCCCCCCACACACACACACACTCGGCATCGTCTGGAGACATTTGTAGTTGTCAAGACTTGGGGTGGGCTGATAGCATCAAGCGGGTAGGAGTCAGGAATGCTGCTCAGCAGCCTGCATGGCTCCCGTGGCGGGCTACACATGTCAAGAGTGTAAAACCCATTGAGAGCAAGCCCCTAGGGCAGAGAGGGGAGAGCAAGGCCCAGAGGGACTGGGAAGCAGGGGCCAGGCTGTCTTGGGGTTAGTGTGGGCAGGGCTGGCACAGGGCAGGGACCACCCCTCAAAGGAGAGCAAGGGGAAAAGAGTGTGATGCTGTGTGTGTGACACGTGATCACGCAGGGCTTGGAGCATGACGGCCAGCAGGGTAAGCGTGGCTGTGAGTGTGTGACAGCATGTGTGATCCTGTGTCCTTTTTATTTTGGCTAACCCTCACCCGAGGATATTTTTCCATTGATGTTTTCTAGAAAGAGTGGAAGGGAGAGGGAGAGACAGAAACATCGATGTGAGAGAGACACATCAATTGGTTGCCTCCTGCATGCACCCCGACCATGGCAGGGAACCTGCAACTAAGGTACATGCCCTTGACCAGAATCGAACCTGGACCCTTCAGTCTGACACTATCCACTGAGCCAAACTCGCTAGGGCTTGTGTCCTTCTATTTTCCAGTGAGTGGTGACTTTGAAGGTGCCCCTCTCTGAGTGTGCAGTTCTGAGTGTGAGTGACAACTGAGTGTGTAAGCATGTGGGCTGTGGGTCTATGTGTGATCCTGTCTGCTAAGCCCCACGTGTGTGTGCGAGTGTGTGTGTGTGTGTGTGTGATGAGTTGAGAACCCCCGCCCCAGGGGTCTGTGGGGGCAACTCTGTTTACATTTCAATTATTCGGTGGTTGGGATGCTGGATCTGGGTGGGAGACAGGGAGACTGAGGTCCCAGGAGGCTGGGGGCGTGTGTGTGTGTATGTATGTGTGTGTGTGTGTGACAAACCCAGGCTCCAAAGCCTGCTGTATGTCCTAAGCTCAGCAACATCCTTCTTTGAAGCTCAGAGCCATCTACAATGGGGAAACTGAGGCTCAGCTTCTGCAGTGTCTGGGAACGCCAGCCTCTGCCACACTGGGCTGAGTCAGCCCAAACAGAGGAGAAATACACCACCCCAAACCTCAGAGTCAGAATACTGCGGGGGCAGGCAGGGACCCCAGCCAGCCTCCTCCTGAAATTGCCTTCCAAACAGACCACCCACTGGCTGGGTGGGGCCGGACTGCTCTTGGAGCTCCATGTAAGTCCTTCCCGTTAGCTGCCTCAGGTTTCTCTAGTTGCAACCAGGGCCCTGGGGGGCAGGGAGCTGGGGGATGTGCCTGCCTGATCAGGTGATCCTTCTTGGGGGCAGCTTCTGATTTGAGCCCTCCAGCTTCTGGACACGGATTGTGTCTGGAATGGATGTGGGGGGTTAGAGGATGGTCCTGAGCTCAGATGTGAAGGAAGGAAGGGAGGGGGCCCAGCTAGAGAAACAGCAAAGGAGGGAAGGGAATGTTCCCTTGGGAGCCCCCAGCCTGAGGGGCTGGAGGGGAAGGGTCCACACCCTCTGGTCGTTTGGGTGCCAGCCCTCAGCTTGCAGCACCTACCCTCCCCCACCAACCCGTCCCTCTTTAGACCATGTGACCCACTGATCCCTCCCCCAGCTCTGGGAATTCAAAACCCCGGTGCCCTTCCTCGGCCTGCCAAACATCAAGGTGACACTGCAGGCAAATCTAAACACTGCCCAGCACTTTTTCCATCCTCCACGGGGGCTCGTCATAAATCCCCCCTCCAACTCGGGCCAGGGTTTTTATGGGCCAAGACCTAGATCCCTCGGGACCAGCTCTGCCCCAACAGGCGCCAGTTTGGGGTTGGATGGGGCTGGTGCCCTCTCCAGACTTATCCCCACAGGGAGATGGGTAGCGCGTGCATATTTTTAGCTGGTAAAAGGAGATAGTGGCTTAGAGGCCACTCTCGTGGGGGCTGATCCAGACTGCGGGGGCCCGTTTGGGTGAGAGAGGCCCAGGTCCACCTGGACCTCAGTCTCCTCCTCTGCAGGTGACTCCACCTTCCTCCACCAACTTCACTTCTCCCTGCTCCCTCCCCAGAAACACATGGGGTGGACCTAGGAATGGGGACACGTTGGGGACACTGGGTCCAGCTGACCTGCCTCCACTTCTACATTGTGATCCATTTTCGCTCCCCAGAAGCATATCTGGCTGGGATAGACATGCCGGGGAGGAGCAGAGGGACCTGCAGGGAGGTGAAAAGGCAGTCCCTGTCGACACTGCCCCAATTAACCCCATTTCCCCACTTGTACTCTGGAGACAGGGCCTTCTTTGAATCTTTCCTTTCCCCCTGAAGAATCTCCCCACCATGCTGCAGGTGACACCCGCACCCACCCCTTTCCCAGGGGAGCTGGGGCCACCTCCTCACACGTCCTCCTGCCCCTCCCGGAGGCAGACACCCTAGGTGCGCGCAATCGAGACCCACAGCAGCTTTCCACACTTTATCTCTGTACAGTTATCGCGAGAGTCCCGAAACCTCGACGGCATCGTCTGCGCATGGGCAGCCCGTCGCGAGGTATGACGGCTGGAGCCGTGGGCGCTGTCCGGCCGGGACCGGTGAGGTAGGGTCACACGCAGGCACACTCTCGCGCCGACAGCTCGTGCACCGTGTGGTAGCGGCTGTTCGTGTCCAGAAAAGACACCTCGTCCTCGTAGGCCGTCGGGCGGCAGCAGGGCTGCGCGCGAATCCTCTCCCGCCGCACGCGCCGCCGCTGGCGCAGGCGCCGCAAGCCCAGGTCGTAGACGCGCGTGGCCGCCTCGCACGCGCCTGCGCAGTAGCGGAACAGCACCGTCTCCTCGGACGTGTAGCCGAGGCCCAGCTCGCTCACGCGCACCTCGAGCTCGCGCAGCCCGCATGGCCGCGACCCCGACCGCGCACGCGCGCGCCGCCGCCGGGGCCCAGTCCGACGGCGCGCGCTGGGGGACCGCCCCGCCCAGGGCGTCAGCTCGCGCAGTTCCACGGCGTCCGGGGCGCCCTGCAGCAGTGCACGGTCTGCGAGGGGAGGGAGAGAAGGGATGGGAATCAGTGGGTGGGTGGGAGGGAGTCCTCTACCCTCGCTGTTCCCCTGCAGAAAATGACCCAGGTTCCTGCCCAGGCGCTCCCGCTGGAAGGTGTTGGAGGGGTGCATGTGCAGACCCCTGCGCTGGGCCCCCAAAGTTACCAACATCCCTCTTTGGACCCCGCCCTATGTTTCTGCGTTCCCTGGACCACTTTCCTGCTTGCCCCACTGAGCTGAGCTCACGGAGTGTCTCAGCCCCGCCCCCAACACTTTCTGTGGATCCCATCCCTATGCTGGGCTTCTCTTCCCATAACGCCCCCCCTCCCCCCCAACTTCCCACCCGTTAGCTGAGCTGTATGGGTCTTTCCCTCACTCTGGGGTCCCTAATCAAAGCCCCAACATCTGGGAGCCCTTGGGCTGCTCACAACCCCCCACCCCGTATACCTGTTGCTCTACTGTGCAATGGGACTCAGTTTCCCTATACAGAAACCCAAATTGGGTGTTCGGGCTTCTCAGAACATACAGAAGAACAGCAGGCACTAAGGCCTGTGTGGGGACCCCACCCCATGGGGTGGCAGCAGCTATTGTCAGGCGACTCCCATGTTATAGGTAAGGAAACTGGGTACCCAAAATAGCAGACTTGGCCAAGGCCACACCACTGGCAGGTGGCAGTGAGAGCGAGAAACCCGGAGAGCATTTTTCCTGCCTCCATCCAGTACCCATGTTTGGCCCACGTTCAGCCCTTTTCTCCCACAGCTGCCCTCGGGAGGTGCCAGAGTCACAGAATCCCAGGATCCCGTAGACTAAACTTATTTTCCAAGAGGCTGGCCCTGCCCCAGCACAGTAAGTCCTTACTTAACATCATCGGTAGGTTCTTGGAACTCCGGCGAAATGACAAAGAATGAAACCAGTTTTACCAAAGGCTAATTAATGTAAAAGTTCTTACGGCATCTCATCATTGAAACAAAACTAGGCTCAGGGAAATGACTTTATTCCAGGATCTGTTGTGCTCTGCAGCCCCAGGAAAGAAGCGCAGACTTTGGAATGGCTGGCAGGAGGCTCCCAGCCTCTGACAGGCTGCAGTCACAGGTTGGGAGAGGAAATCCTGAGTTTAGCCCGTGCCTGCCCCCAAGGCTGGCACACCTGGCTGTCAAAAGAAGTCTCTTACTGGGAAGCCTGAGGGGGAGGGACCGTCTGTGACCCCGAGAGTGTCTGTTTCCACAGCCGGCCTCAGAAAGCAGACAAGCCCAGGCTCTGAGCCTCGCTCTGCCACGCTTCTTGTTCGGCGTCCGCTGGGGGACGGCCCGCCCCTGCCAGTGCCCCTTTCTGCCCAGCGGCTCGCAGAGTCCTCGCTGTGGTTGTGGCTGGGAGAGTGGGAGGTGAGGGATGAGTGAAGTCCCTGCGGCCCAGGGGCCTGACTGGGATCGCCAGCACTGTCTGCTCCGGGGTTAGATTTGAGCCTGACTCACTTCTGGTGCCTAAACCGCCTCCACTTAGAGTGCACACCTCAAGGTGTGCTTGCAGAGAGTTCTTTGCGGGGTTGCCAGATGATACAAATACCCAGTTAAATTTGAATTTCAAATAAACAATGAATAATCTTTTAGTTTATCTGTCCCTGCGGCCCTCCAGCTGCCCAGGCCACGTGCACAGGGTCTGGAGCACAAAGAGATGAGCTCTGCTCTTCGTTCCTCAGCCTGAAATTCCACCCTCAGCCCGTGAGCCCCAGGACCTCGAGGGGGTCCACAGCCACTCCCCTCCCCCCGCACAGCTGGGCCCAGGGACTGGCGGGCACCGCCCACGGGCTGAGCCTCTTCTCGGTGGATCCCGCCAGTGGCGCTGTGTCCCCAGGTCCTGGAACGCTGGCTTTCGGGGGCCCACCCAGGGCTCTGGAACCCAGTGTCCTGGGAAGGGCTTCTCGGCCTACAAGGGCTAGTGTTGGGCACGGAAGTGAAGTCTGTGCCGGAGGCCGCCCTTGTCTATTGTGAGGACAAGAAAGAAGGGCTGTGAGGCCTGGCGGGCGCGTGTGCAGGGAGGCAGCCCCCACCCGCAGGCGCCACGCATGTGCCCGGCCTGTGCCTACGCCACACTGCGTGGTCATGTGTGCGCACACACAGGTGGGGCCCAGGGTCCAGTGAGCAGTTGGCCAGGTGGCCATGCTCCTCAGGTAGGAGTTTCACTTTCTTTTCCATGTCTCTCCCGCCTGTCTCCGTCTCTGTCTCTTTCCCCATGTCTAGGTCTCTGTCTCTAGGTCTCTCTCTGTCTCCCGGTTCTTGTTCCCTGTCAACACATGCAGGTCATTGGGGCCTTAGGTCCAGCGTCCCCCTCCCGCCCCCCTCTGCGCTGCGGGCGGGCCCCCCCGCCAGAGTTCCTAGGTCTAATCTCCATCTGGCCCGCTGGCCCCTGAGGGACAGAGTCTAATTCCTTGTGACAGCTAAGCCAAGAGACCCCAGCTCCTAGGAGCCACCCCCTCCCCCCCCACTGTCATTGGGAGATTTACATCCTCCCTCCACCCCATCTTTAAAAAAGCTTCCGTGGCCTGGTTCCACTGCCTGACATTCCACAGTATGGCCGTCCCTAAGTCAGGGGAAGGGCTTACACTGGGCCAGGCGGGCGATGCGGGCGTCCAGGGTTCGAGGTGGCCGGCGCAGCGGGGCTAACGCGGGTCCGAGGCGGTGGCTGAGGAGTAGGCCGTCCCGACACATCCAGATGGAGAGCACGGAGCTGCAGAGCACCGAGGCCAAGGCTGCTGCCTTCCAGCGCTGCATCCTCGGCCTGCGGGCACGGACGGTCAGCCACACGGCCCCGGTGGGCCAGGCAGCAAACAGGTACAGGGCACCGTGCCAGGCACTGGGGACACAGTGGGCCCACGATTTTGGACCACTGCTGCTTACTGCTCAGTGATAACGGGCGTGATTCAGCAAGGAGCCACAGGACATGGCAGTGAAGAACTGCTGCTAAGGAGGGTGCGGGCGCTGTGCCAGGGGTGCCAGGGGACCGCCCCATCTGGGGGTCCCAGAGGGCTTTCTTGAGGGTTGAGGGCAGTTCGAGATTTGAACAAAAGTAGGAGTTGGCCAGGCAGAAGGGAGTGGCACCTCAGGAGGAACAGCCAGTGCCAAGGGACTGAAGCCGAACCAAGCTTGGCCAACCCAGCCAGGAGGCTGGGGTAGCTGGAGCCCAGTGTGTTTCGGGAAAGATGGAAAAGTGAAGCCATTCCCAACAGGGGACATTGTGGGACCAGGGTGACCAGGAGCCTGGTATTAGAATACAGCCTGGGGGGCAGAAACCATGGGGGTGACACTTTGGTCCCTACATAGGATGCTCTGGGGAGTGACTTGCTGCCCTTTCAGAGCCTGGGCTCACCCTCCAGACAGATAAACTGATGCCCGGAAAGAAGCTGCGATGAACCCAAGCTGTTCTCCACCCACTTCCAGGCTATCGCACAGACGGTCCTTCCGCCCAAAACACTTTCTCTCCCCTGCCCTCCCATTCCTGTTTCAGTCTCACCTTGGACCCGTGCCTCCTCCAGGAAGCCTTCCCTGACTGCTCCCCACACCCCAAGTCCTAAGTGTCCCCCCACCCCCACCCGTTAGAACACCCATTACTCGGCGCTGTGGCTACCAGGAGCTTCATTCGGGCTTAGTGCATACAGTAGGTGTTTAATAACCCTCCTACACCCCTATCCCCCAGCCGTGTCTGAGCAGCTCCCTGCTGCCTGGCGGCCCCAAGCCTGCGTTTACATTCCCCCACCGGCTGCCTGTGCCGGCCGCACGGGGTCTGGCGGGAGGCCCGGTGTAAACATTTACACAGCGGGTCAGCGCCTGGGCTCGGCCGCAGGGTGCCGGGCGCCCCCAAGCGCACACCTCGGCGCGCAGGCTGCTCACCCAGAGAGCAATTTGCGGGCAACGTGCATCTCCTTTGTGCGTTTGTCTTTCATTTGCATGGGACTCGCGCAGGCCCGGCCGTGCTGGGTTCGGCAGAGCGTGGAGCTCTCCCCCTTCGCATGGACGCAGAGGCACAGGACCCACAGCCACGGGGCGTGACAGAGGGCACCGGCTAAGCTCCGCACGATACCAAGTCAGGTGCTGAGCCCCGAGAGCACTGTTATCTCCATTTTGCAGCTGAAGAAACTGAGGCACAAAACAGATAGAGGGGCTTGTTCAGGGGCATTTGGCTAGAAAAGGACCTGAAGTTCAAAGGCAGACACAACACACGTTCATGGCTGAGCTGGGCTTGGGAACAGATGTCAGGGAGCCACCCCAGGGGCCGGCCTGCCACTATTTTACATCACAGTGTTTGTTACTGTTGATGGTGGCAGAGAATGAGCTCCTAGACTCGGGGGCATACCTGGATACCAGAGGACACACCACTTGCAAAGGCCCTGGGGCAGGACAGGCCTGGCTGGTGAAGGAACAGGAGAGGCCCTCGTGGCTGTAGCAGAATGAGGCGGAGTGGCGGGGGTGGGGGGGGAGTGGCTGGTGACAGGGTAGATCCTGCCGGAACTTGTGGGCTGCAGAGAGAATATTTCATTCTCAAGGTTGTGCAGCAAACAGAGGTCAGCCCATTTGTCAGGTGCCCAAACCACCCCCTTTTATGCTAGATCCTGTTCTACAATCAATGCATATTAAGTCATTTCAACCTCACAAAGAGACTTTATCCCCATTTCAGATGGGGTAACTGAGGCCTAGAGTAGTCACATGACTTACCCAAGGTCACAGAGTTGGCAGGGAGAGACAGCAGGGAAACCCACCCAGGCTCAGGGCCTCTGGACGGATAGAGCATTGGCCTGTGGACTGAAGGTCCCGGGTTCGATTCCAATCAAGGGCACGTACCGCGTACCTGGACGGGCACATGCAAGAAGCAACCAGTCGATGTGTTTCTCTCACATCGATGTTTCTCTCTCTTTCCTTCTCTCTACCACTCCCCCTAAAAATCAGTGGGGAAAAATATACCCTTGGGTTGAGGATTAAAAAAACAAAAGTCCTCCGCTGGGCATGGCTTTCTCTTGACCCCTACTTCCTGCTTGCTCTCATGCCCAATTCTTGGAATAGCGTGCCTCAGTTTCCCCGTTAGGCTGGAACAAGGCGGGGCACAGCACCAGGCTGTGGTCCTCTGTCTCTGCTAAGGGCTTACGTGGGGGCTGGACGGATGGATGAAACACCAGCCAAGAGATGGCCTGGCCACAGGAGTCCCCCTCCCTTAGTCCCCCCCTCCCCGTGGCCTTGAAACGCTAGACCCCACCAGGCTCTGATGGGGGACAGGGAAGCAGGGGGCTGACAATGGAGGGGGCCCGGCAAGCCAGCTGATAAGCATTGGTTAACAATGGATCTTTCTGTAAGGGGGTCACCCAACTGGTTTGTCCCTGGCAGGGACCTGCCCGGGAGGGGGTGCTGTGGGTGTGGTGGAGGGCACAGGGGAGGGGCCAGGCGTGCTTGTGTAATGGAGGCCTGGAGATCCAGGGCGGCGGATGCCCTCACACTCACACTCAGCATTCTTACTCTTGCACACACTGTATCCCACTCACACATGACGTTTTCACACACTCAGACACGATCCCATTTACACACTCAGTGTTTTCACACAGCCATGCATTTGGACATTTTCACACACATTGAAACCCTCACATCCACACACGTGAGCACTGTCACACACACATGTCAGAGTTCTCACACTTACACCCAAACACCACCACACTCACACACTAGGTGTTTTCATATGCCTACTCAAACATATCACAGTCTTGGATGTGTCTGTCATTAATCTTCGAACAGTCACACACATGTTTTCACACTCACATACTTGAACACGATCACATACATACACATAAGCATTGCCACACTCACACGCTAACGTTTCACACTCACACTAATGTCTCACACACACACCTGGGCATGTGTAGACTCGTGCGTTATGACATTTGCACATTACCACATGCACATGCTAGTGTTTCACTCTCATACACGTTCACACGTGGGCATTTTATATGGCATTTGAACATGCTCACAGTTGAACACAACCATGTTCTGCATTCTGGCTACATGCTCACATACATGGGGACACACACATGGTTGGGTCTTTAACTGCAAAGATCCCACGTGGGATCCCACAAAGATCCCATGTGTGCTGCGAGGCAAGCGGCAGTGGAGGCACAAGGACCCAGGCGAGAACTGACCTGCCAGAACCTCTGGTACCCGGCCAAGGTTCACACCGCTAGCATCTCAGGGGCCACTCACTCTGCCCAGAGGGCTGGCCAGTTCCCTTCCTCACCTTCAGGCACGTCCAGCTCCTGGAGAGTCCTCCCTGTCGAGGGAAGGGAGCACCCGCCCTTCTTGGGGGCCAGGCCAGTCTGAATTACAGCAAGAGGGATGGAGGCTGGCCCTCCCCTCTATCTGGAGGCCAGAGGATCCCCAGGGCTGGGCCGGAGCGAGGGGAACCGGGCTCAGAGGGGTGATGAATAGCCCAAAGTCACACAACCAGGTAGGTCCTTCTAAGCATCCAAGGAGCAGACAATCAGGGTGAGGGTGTGTGGGTGTTTCTGGCAGCTTCGTTGGTGGTGCCAGGAAAAGCTGCTCATTATCCTGGTCTCGAGGCAACGCCCCGGGGCTCCGCCTTTTCACAGTTTCCCAGGGACCTGCCTGTTCCCAGGTTAACAGCCTCCATCCTGCAGAGCTCCTGGCCTCAGGGAGGCACCTGCTTCCTGCCTGCATCCAGGGACAGGAAGGTCAAGCGGTGACCCCTCCCTCAATCCACTCATCCCTCTAGTCTGGGGAAGTCTGGAATTGAGGCTCTTCCCCCTTGGGCAAACTCCTGCTTATCCCTCAAAGCCCTAGCTACTAAAGCCCCTCCTCCAGGAGCCTTCTCTGCTCCCCATCTTGGCGCCCTGGCCACAGGTCCACCCCTCTTTGTCAGCCCTGCAGCACAGCTATGTCCATGCCGGTCTGTTCTGGAGCAGGGCTTTCTGGAGGGGCCGTCTTGGCTGGGTTATCTTGGCTGTTCTGTCCAGAGGCCTCAGTCTCCACACTTTTGGTGCCTCCCTCCCTGTACACCCTTCTTCCTTTCTACCTCACTTCTGAACATGTCCCTGGTCCTACCGTACCCAGTTTCCCCATCTTCAGGAAGTGTCCAGAGGGGCCCACCTAACACCACAGGAATGCCAGGGGAGGGCTTCGAAGGGCTGTCACTGTCCACAGGCAGAGCGAGCCACGCTGTGAAGTCACATGGGCAGATGTGGGCGCGGCCTGCTCACTGGGGAAGGGCGTGCGTCTGAATACTGCAGACAGCCCAGTTCCGATCCCTGCTCTGCCTCTCCCTGCCGGAGCCTCAGTTTCCCCATCCGTACAACAGACTGCCCAGGACACCCTCCCCGACCCGGAGGGTCATTTAAGTTCTGGAAGTTCTGCAGAACCAGCCGACAGCAACAGCTGGGCCCAGCACTCGGACACACATGCTTTCGTGCCCGTGCCTCTGTTTCCCTGTCGGTGCCGACGGCTCCTAGGACAGCCCTGCTTGTCTCCTTTCTCCCAGATGGCCTGGAGGCTCCCTGGGGGGCCCACCGAGGGGGAAACTGAGGCCCTATGACGGGCGGAACTTGGGCCTCTCTCAAGGCAAGACTCAAGGTTCTGCAAAAGAAGAAACAAATTCTGCAGCCCACAAAAATGTGTCCCCTCCCTCAGAGGGCCCAGGGCCCGGCCCACCCCAGAGCGGGGATGGGGAGGCCAGGGCAGCCTCAAGTTGGCAACACACATCTGGGGGTAAACCAGGAACATCTGGCTAGCACAGCTGGTTCCGATGCTGGGTCTGCAGGGGTCGGGGGCCGGCCTGTGGGACAGCCTCATGGCTGGCACTTTCACAGACACCCCAAAGCAGACCTTCCAGGCCCGGCTGGAGGTGGGGCGTAGCCTCTCATCTTCTTCCCCCACCCCTGAGCTTCCTGCTGCCCAACTGCCAGCATCATCGCCGGCTCCCTGCTGCTCTGAGAACAAAGTGTCAGCCCCTAAGGGGCTCTGGGTTTGTCCTGGCCAAAGTGTAGCTGAGAGGTGGACAGAGAGTGCCTTCTGGGGGGGACTGTGCTGGTTGCTTTGTGATAATAATACAAGTCATGCCAAGACCCGTTTGGCTCAGTGGATTGAGCCTGCGGACTGAAAGGTCCCAGGTTCGATTCCAGTAGAAGACATGTACCTTGGTTGCGGGCACATCTCCTGTATTCTCCCTCATGGATGTTTCTAACTCTCTATCCCTCTCTCTTCCTCTCTGTAAAAAAATAAAAAATGTATATTTAAAAATAATAATAATAATACAAGTCAAATACTAGTAATAATAGCTAATAGTAACCCTAGCAAACAACACTATTGGTGTAAGCACTTCACACTTAATGATTCATAGCAAGGTATGAACTCTTTTATCCCCATTGTGTAGATGGGAAAACCGAGGCCCAAAGAAGTAAAGTGACTTGCTAAGGGTCAAGCAGAGTGTAAGTGAGATTTGAACTTCGTGGTTGGGCAAACTCCTGCTCATCCCTCAAAGCCCTAGCTCCAACACCGGTCTCCACATTCTTAACTACTGCCCCACATGGCCTTTCTAACAACAATAACACCCAGCAGTATTGGCTATTTCATTTATTTAGTGCCAAGCGCTATGCTAAGGACTTTCTATATGTTTAATTCTCCTCACAGTCCCTGGAAAAAGGTGTTATTATTACCACACAGGGAAACTGAGGCTGAGAGAGTAGTGATTTGGTCAAATAAGTGGTTGAGCTGTGGTTGAACCTGGGTCTGACTCCCAACTTATTTTCTCGGTGCCTCCACAATCCCGGGGCTCTGGGTAACAGAGGTAATGCTGGGGGAGAGAGGAGGCATGGGGAGGATCTGAGAGGCTCTGCTTTTGGGGAGGGGGAGGAGAGAGTAGAGGTAAGTTTCAGGGAAGTAAGAGATTTCCTCAAAGACACACAAGGCCAACCTGGGCCCCACCCGTGCCAACTCACTATCCAATCAGGACCAAGGATGATAAATAAATACATATGGTAATCTGGATGTTGACGTACAACAACAACAACAACAACAACGACAACGAGGTGAAGCAATAGTACATTCGGTGGAAGGGCTGCTTTGAGGTTGAGGGATCAAGAAGTGCTTCTCAGCCAAAACCGGTTTGGCTCAGTGGCAGAGCGTCGTCTGCGGACTGAAAGGTCCCAGGTTCGATTCCGGTCAAGGGCATGTACATTGGTTGCGGGCACATCCCCTGTAGTTGGTGTGCAGGAGGCAACTGGTTGATGTTTCTCTCATCGACGTTTCTAGCTCTGTCCCTCTCTCCTCCTCTCTGTAAAAAATCAATAAAATATATTTAAAAAAAGAAGAAGTGCTTCTCAGAGGAGGCAGCATCTGAGCTGGGACCAAGTGAAGATCTGGGGAGAACATATTGGGGGGGGGGGGACAGCAAAGGCCCCGAGGTAGGGCTGTGCCTGTTCAAGGTGACCAGTGTCACTGGAGCAATGGAACCAGGGACAGTGAGGGGAGATGAGGAGGAGAGGTCACAGGGGCCCTGGGACCTGCCCACAGGGCCAGTCCTCCATTCTCCAGTGTCTGCACCCTCTTCCTGCACCCACCGCTGTGCTCTCAGGGAGACAGGCTGGGAGTATGTGTGTGCGTGGGGCCACAGCTTCTCCGCTCCACGGACTGTCCGTGTCTAGCCCAGCCCTCTGTGGCTAGACCACAAAGTTCCCACCCACCTTGACCTTATGAGGCTGGCCTGGGGCTGGCCCTGCAGGCAGCGGGCGGGCAGGAGGGGGCTCCCCAGGGTAGGATAACAGGATCAGCCTAATGAGGCCTGGCATAGCACAGAGCTGAGCAGCTGGCATGGGGCCCAGTGGGTGGTATGAGGGATGTGGGTTGTCTGAATGGCCAGGATATCACACAAAAGCGGGTCAACAGACAGAAATGGAAACCGAGGTACAGCTCCAACCCTAACACTACTTTCCTGGGAATCAGGGTACCTGAGTCGTTTCTTCCATTTCCCCAAGTTCAAACGTTGCCTCAGGTCTAACACACCAAGCTATGTAGGCATGAATGTGCCCTCTGGGAATGAGACCCTCCTGCTGCCAGCAGAGGCCCCGCCCCTCGCTTCTCCCTGCCCCTGGGCTCCCCTGCCCACCTTGGGAGACCAGGAAAGATACACTGGCGGGGGGAGTCCCGCAGCCCCTCAGCAGAGATGGCTGGGCCCACCGATGCCACGCGTGTTAAAGACCCGGTCCTCTCTCTCCTGTATTCCCAACCCCCACCTGCAGCAGTCTGCCTCGGAATGCCCCTGCCCCTTTGCTCCCTCCCCAGGCTTTCAGAAAGTCTCTCCTCCCCACATTCACCCAGGCACCCTGGACTTGCCACAGCCAACCAGCCTGCTCTTTCCTGCCTCTAGATCTTTGCCTATGTGTTTCCCATCGCCTGGAATGCCCTCTGTTTTCCCACTTAGAAAACTCCTATTCAGCCGTCACAGCCCTAGCTCGTGCTCCTCCTCTAGAAAGTCTTCCCTGACTGCCCTGCCCTCAGACAGAGCCTGTGTTCCCCACGTTGGGCTCCACCCTGGGTCTAAGTGTGTTGCCCTTGAAGGACAGAGCACAGGAGCCCTTTTACCAAACAGGCAGCCATACCATGTCTGTCCAACAAACATTTGTTGAAACAATCTCTTGATTGTGTCTTACACAGAGGGCTGGGCTACAGACTGTTTGGTTCCTTCTCTTGCTTTAGGCTCTTCCTATCCTCTGCTCCCTGCCCTCCACCCCTGAGAACTGAGGCCTGAAACGTGAGGGACAAGAGCTCATGGTGGAATTTCAAACACTGGGCCCAGCTGCAGAGAGAGGGGGGCGGGAGTGTGTGTGTGCTTGGCTTCCTTTCCTGCATCCAGCTCTTTGCAACTGGCTGTGGGTAAGCTGGGAGGCCCAGGAGTGGCTTCAAAATTCCAACCATTGGGAGTCCTGGGATGAAGGGAGTTGGGAGAAGGGCCCCAAGGCAAGGGGCTGAAGGTGGGGAGAAGCTGGTCAAGTTGGGAGTCTTCCCTCCACTGACATCAGCCTAGACCAGTCACGCCCCACTGGGCTTCCTCAGCCTGGGGCACTCAGACAGACAAAGAGGGTCATGGAACGCGGAGAAGGATGTTGGGCCGGCAGAGGGCAGGGCGGGTGGGCAGGCAGGAGTGAGGAGAATCGGCCCAGCCTCCCATGCCCCCTGCCAGGCCCCTGGCCCTGCTCCCTGGATCTGGACGGGTGGCCCAGCCTTGCAGGTAACCACAGGCCCGCTAACCAGGGCCAGGGTCACCACCATGCGCGCTGTGGCTTCCTGCGGAGGGGGCGGTGGTGACGGCAACCCCTGGGAGGGGCCGGTTTCCCCTCTCGCCCCACCCTCTGCAGCCCCCATGGCCCGATGAATCCTAACCCCCAAACCGCTCCTCCTGGGAGAACTTTGAGGCGATTCTGAACAAGAAGATAATGTCTCTTTTAAAAAGCAAGAGAGCAGGGTACAGCCCCCCTCTCCTTCAAATCTGGTTTTTGCCCTTAAGGACACCCCCTCCCCCCAAAAAAAAAGATTTCGCGCCCTCTTGCGGCTGAACAAGCGGCTCGGGGAGCCAATGGAGCCCGGCCCTCACCGGAGGACACCGTGTCCCCGGCGGCGGCGGCAGGCGGGCGGCCGGGACGCGCCGCTGACAGATGTTTACTTCTGCGCGCAGCTGGGCCGCGACGGCAGCCCCGGCCGAGGCCCGCGGAGCCGGCGCCCCGGGCCGCTGGGGACCAGAGGCAGGGGTGTCCGGAGCCCGCTCTCCCGAGGGCTGCGGGGGGCACTCCAGCTGCCCCGCTCCCTCCCTCCGGGCGCACGTGGGGCTGCGGGAGGCAGAGGTGCGTCTGCCCCGTCGGGCCGGGAGCCGCCCCCTCCCAGATCCGACTGGAGAGGCGCCCTCCCACCCGCCCCTCCACCCGCGCGGACCTGGCGCCCCTTGACCCCATCCTCGCACCGACGCCGGGGGGCGCACCTTGTCTATCCCGAGTCCCACAAGCCCCCCAGGTCCCCGTACATGGAGCCGGTCGTCCCCCCACTGTGGCCCCCCGCTCGCCCTTGCTTACCTGCTGGGGCGCCCGACTACCCGTCAGAGGTGGCCGCGCCTGCCGCCCGCGCCGGCCCCGGCCCCGGCCCCTGCCGCCGCCGCCGCCATCCGGGCCGCCGGGGCCCGAGGCGCCTGGGGGGGCCCGGGCCTGAGGGGGCGGCCGCCGGGGGGGCGCGGCGCGGGCCGGGCCATGGACCCCCCTCCGGGCTCGCTCAGCCGCGGGCTGCGGCCATCCCGGGCCGGCGGGGCTGGGCTGGGGGACGCCCTGGACGGCGGGGGGCTCGGGGGGCGCACGGACGGCGCGGGCGGCCTCGGGGCGCGGCGCGGGGCTCCGGGGCGGCAGGACGGGGGGCCCGGGCGCTCCCAGCCGCTCCGAGGCGCGCTCTCCCGCCACCTCCGCCGCGGACGGCTCGGCCGGCGCGGGGCCGGGGGCGGAGCCGGGGGCGGGACCCAGGGCGGCGGCTCGGGTTTCCCGGGACCGGAGCCGCCCTCGCCCCGCCCCCGCCCGATGGGGTCGGAGAAGCGCAGGTGGCGGGGGTGCGGGGGCCCCAGCGCCCCCATAGACGGCGATGTCCCTGGGCCCCGGAGAGCCCTGCAGCGCTCCTGCGGGAAAGGGGGTCCTCCGGGCCCCTCCTGGGATAGAAGCCACAGCGCCCCGACGCCAGGGCCCGCGCTCTCAGCGCTCCCCACCGCCCTGCACTGAGGATCTGGCCCCGCTGTCAGACTCCCGGGTCCTGACAGCAAGCTATTCCAGAGACCCGAGATCCAAACTTTGCCCCTAAGACAGCAAGGGACACCCTAAGACTGACGACCGCTGTCCACGGAGGCCCCATCCAGTGGCAGTTCCCTGCAGCCTGGCCTCGGAGCCCTGCGGGGGTCCTTCCTGGGCACCGAGACTCAGCGCGGCTCGCCAGCAGCCCGCAAGCCAAACCCACCCGGTGCCTCCCCGACGGTCCGAGTTCCCCGAGCGCCCCCTGGCGGCCCCGCTGGCTAGAGAGCGTGGAGGGAGGGGCGGGGGCGGGACTGAGCCGCCCGCCCCGCCGCGGGGGCCCCGCCCCGGCCTGCTTAGAGGGAGGCCCCTCCCTGCCGTCCCGCCCCGGACCCCGCACTCAGGCTCCTCCCGCGCCGTCCGGGCCGGCACCTGCCGTCTCCGGCCCGGTGCTCGGGTTTCTCACTCCTGATTTCCCGGGTCTCCCGTAGGACCCCACTTCCCATCGCCGACACACGCGGGGACCCTTGGCCAGCCTCACCCATTGTACCGAGTTTAAGCGAGTTTTGGGGTGCACAGCCCGGTGCAAGGGAAAGGGGGATGGAGGCGGGAATGTGACCTGGTGGGGCAGAGAAGTGACCCTTTGCGGTTGCCGGGTCCCCGTCCAGAATGGAACGTGCAGGCTCTGTGGTTTGGGCTCAGTGCCTCAGTTTCCCCATTGTATTAGCAGGTTCTCATAGGGTTGGGTTGTAGAAAGGACCTGTGCCAGGCGCGTGGTGAGCACCATGCCAGTGTCCTTCGTTATTAGCGTCGCCAAGTGCTCCCTCTCAGAGACACCCTCACACTCAGGAGGGAAGGGCATGGCTCTGTTGGCCATTCACACAGAGATCCCCCAAACCTTTGTTCCAGGCTGGGTCACGCCCACCGCCGTGCCCATCCTCACACCTACACGCCATCCTTCACACACACAGCGGTCACAGCCACCCCCCAGCCTCCCACGTGGACATGTACTGATGCTCACACTCATACAGGCATTCCTACTTCCCTCCCGCTGGGACACACACAAAGCTCACACTGCCCAGCACATGCACACACACACACACACACACAGTTCCCCATAGAGACACAGACACACATGTCATTCATACACTTATCATCACCCCACTGGCCTCCAGAGTAGCTGCAAGGGGCGGAGCTGGGTTGCCGGATCGCAAGCATGCACACTAGGCATATAGGCTCTGGTACACACACTAGCACACACAGAGCTCACAGGAAACCGGAGACACGCACATGCCATCCTGAGGACAGGTTGCCTACCCCACAGCCGCACACACAGAGGAAGTGCGCGCACGCGCACACACACACACACACACACACACACTCTGGGTCAGTTTGGGAGGCGCAGCTTCCCTGCACACACACAGCCCTGCCAGGAACCCACCCACCCCTCCAGCCACATTAAGCTGTCACCGGCAGCCCCCAGGCCACCTCCTGTCACCCCACACCGCCTGTGCCCCCTCCCCGCTGAGGAGGGGACCTGGGGGAGCGGCGTGCAGGCACATGGAGAGCGGGGCATGCACATGTGCCTACCATGTGGACGCTCATAAAACGGTTGCCCTGGCAACAGCGACTTGAAAGACTCGGTTCTTCCTCTCGGAAGACGGGAGGTGGGGACACCAGGATCCCCACCCACCTTCCACCACGGGCATGTGTCACACTCAAGGACACGCACACTGATACAGACACATGTGGAGGACACGCCATCACATTCACAACTCCGTTCAGGGCCAGCCCCACGCGGCCACATGAGACACCAGTGTGACACCCTCACACACACCGGTGTGTCACTTCACACAACCCAGCACCCCAGCCACTCTGTCACCAACCCCCACATTTTTTAAGCCCTGGACACAGACGCCTCGTCACACTAGCTGACTCACAGTGCAGCTGGGTACCTCTGCCCTCGAGCCCTCACTCCCTCCAAGGAGATGTCTGGGCCTGGCTGCCCAGGCCAGGGGGACTCGGAGGCTGGTCCTATCAGCAGGAAACACGGGTATTTACAAGGCTTATTTTTAAACCGTCCTTGTCCCGCACTGGGGGCCCTGCGGGGAGGAGTGGGTGGAACTGAGCCTTGAACCTCCTACACTAACAGTGAAGCCCTGGGTCAGGGCTGTGGGCTCCTCAGGGCACAGGTACGTGGAAACTGAGGCTTGGCCAGGAGCAGGGAGCACCTGGCCCCTGTGGCTGGTTTGAGCCTGCTGGCTCCAGGGTCAAAGCTGAGGCAGGCGTGGGACAGTGCTCAGGCACTGGAACTAAGACACCTTCCCCTGCCTGAGGTATGTGCCCAGCAATGAGTTCTGCTCCTTCCCAGTCTCCGGGGATGTCTCCCCCAGGTACCCCAGGCATCCCACTTTTGGCGGGACAATCCCCATTTTTAACAATTTGTCCCATGTCCCTCGTTATAAAAAAATCACGATGTTTGGGAAGAATCTTTCCATCTTTCCAAACATCGGGACTTTTTTAAAAAAATATATTTTATTGATTTTTTACAGAGAGGAAGGGCGAGGGATAGAAAGCTAGAAACGTCGATGAGAGAGAAACATCGACCAGCTGCCTCTTGCACACACCCCACCAGGGATGTGCCCACAACCAATGTACATGCCCTTGACCGGAATCGAACCTAGGACCTTTCAGTCCACAGACCCACGCTCTACCACTGAGCCAAACCGGTTTCGGCCATCGGGACTTTTTTAAAACACTGCAGGATGTGGGACAAATTGTTAAAACCGGGACTGTCCCACCAAAAGCGGGACGTCTGGTCACCTTACCCAGGCAACACTTTTTCCTCCCCAGCCTGCTCTGTGCCCACCTGGCAGTTTTGAGACACAAGGATCAGAGAGGTCAAGATACTGGCCCAAGGTCACACAGTAAGGAAGAAGCTCAAACCTGGGGTTGGGTGACTCTAGAGCGTTCAGGCACTGCCTCCAGCCACTCCTCCACCAGTGCCTGCCGGGTTGGCCCCCTGCCCTCCCTGGGCAGTCACTGCTCCCAAGGGGAGCGTTCTGTTCGAGAGTGGAGGCCCAGGCAGAGGTTGTGGGAGTCTGGCAGCCGCTGGCCAATATTCGGACTTGGCTGGTGGAGAAGTTTCCATCTTAGCGTGAGGAGCTGGTCCAGGACCCAAAGGCCCAGGACTGTTCCTCAGGACCCCCAGGGACCAGCACTATGGGGGTGGGAAGGGTGGCCCAGTGCCCTCTGTATCCCCTCTCCCTGCAGTTGTCCCAGCTGGAGCGTTGGCCATCTCCACATGCTAAGCATTGCCTCCCCCCCCCCCCCCCCCCCCCAATCTGCTAATGACCAGGTTTGCTTGGCGCCCAGCACTGGCCCTTGGGGATCAGTGCTGTCACTTTCCAAGAGGCTCCCCAAAACGAGGCTTCAGGCCCTGTGGCAAAGTCATCCTCACCCCGAGCTAAATGAGGCCGAGAGGGGAAGAGAGGCCGCAGCGCGCCCACTGGGACAGAGCTGGACGCAAAGCCCGGGTCAGAGCAGATGAGGCCTCCGAGGCTTGTGGGCGGCAGGAAGGAGCGGGCTGGCTCCAGGCGAGGATGGGAAAAGCAGGGACGGTGCCTGTCCCCACAGGGCCATTTACAGCCACAGGTCATGGGTCAAGTGTCCTGTCCCTGGAGGCTCTGTGTCGGCAAGGTGGGAAAGCCATCAGCGTGGCCGGAGGGAGCTGGGTGGGGCCAGGCCTGAGGTTGGGCGGGCACTGCAGAGCGGGGCTGGAGTGAGAGGCTTTCTAGGCGCACAGAGGCGCACACCTTCCCCCCCAAAGCCACAGATGTGTGCAGTCACACACAGAAAGACATACAACAGACACACAGACCCAGCCCAAGGCAACTCATACTCAGCAACAACAGCTGCAAATATATACACCGTCACACCCACAGACACAAATTCAAGTCACAAATTTGCTATACCATTAACCACTCACACACAAAAGCCACAAATGTGTACACCTCACACATACAAAGGACACACATGCACTCAGATACACAAACATGCTCATAGACACACACACACACACAGATACCCCCAAAGTCATTGCTCGGCAGTCACAGCTGTAAATGTATATGCACCGTCAGCTTCCCCCCACACACAGCAGCCCCAGCAGCACATCCATCCTGGCATCTGGCACTCGGTCACCCGCCTGCCCTGCTGTCTCATGTCCTTGGCCCCAGGCTGCCCTAATCCCGGTCTCGTGTCCTGAAGCCAGAAGATAAGGGGCAGCTGCAGCCCCAGATAAAGCAGGCGCAGCCACAAATCTGGGGCAGCCCCGGCAGAGGTGGGCACCAAGCCCAGCCGCACCTGCCTCGCTGCTGGCAACCCCATCCGGCCTGGCAGAGAGGGACCGGATGGACTACAGGGCAAGGGGGAGACAGAGGAGAGGGGTGGGGAGAGGGGGAGAGACAGAGAGATGCAGAAAGACACACACAGAGAAATAACGGAATGTGAAGAGAGATGAGACAAACATGGAGGGAAAGAGAAATGCGGAGAAAGGAAGAGAGCAAGGGACAGAATGAAATGCAAAGAGGACCAAAAACACTGGGGCAGAAACAGGAAGAATAACAGAAGCGGGCAGAGAACACGCTAGGGATTTCCCCAGGCCCCACATTACCCCTCCTGGGTGCCTCTGTCTCCCCACCTTCTTGCTTTGGAGAATGACCCAAGC